ATCACTTGGGTGCCAAGCATGTCCCTCTGTGTTCCCATCATGTAAGAGCAGCCCTGCCTCCTCCCAGTGACCAGGGACAACACCCCCAACAGGGTGGTGACTCTTCTTCATGCCTTCTTGTCCCACAGCATGAGAAGCCCAACGTGCCCATGACTCGTAATTCAGTTGTCAGCCAGAGCTTGGAGTTCAGGGGGAGATTCATTGTGTCTCTTGGTGGAAGCATTCCCATTGGTGAACCAGGGTGCCTGCCCATCAGGTAGCCACTAGCCACGGTGTGCTACTGAGTCCTTGAAATGTGACATAGTGCAATCAAGGAACTGAATTTCTGATTATATTTTATCTTAATTACATTTAAATACCAAATGTGGCCAGTGGTGGGTGCATTGGACAGCACAGATCTAGATCCACAGAACCTAAGCTTGTAGAGAGGGAAGCATAAATTCTCATGTGGGTCACTGGGAGTGATGGTAAGCAGAGTCATCCTATCCTTCGCTCATAGATAATGGATTCTACATATTGGTGGCAAATAATGACCCAGATTTAGGGTAGACATTGTGTACTGGATGGCAATCCCATTGTCACATGGTACTACTTCCAATTTTGTACTCATTTGCACTTTGAAGAAGTCTTTAAATTGCTCCATAAGACCAGCAACTTCTGAGCGGATCCTATGGTCATTCACCCCTGCACATCTTCTTTACTGTAGAGCGGTTCCTGGGTCCAGTTGATCTTAGGTAAATCCATGTCAGGAGTGTTCTGTTTTCTTATATTATGTATTTGTCTATTTGATATCCATTTATCACAGAGCCAATTATATTAACTATATTTTTTACTATTGTAACCTTCCTAGTACCCTGAGCCAGCATTGCTGACTTGTGCTTAATGACCTTTTCTCCTTGTCACCCTTGTCATTGTGCAGGTGAAGACACTGAGACAAGTGGAAGACTGTTTTCTCCTAGGGCCACAGAGCAGGTACTCTGCAGCACCAGGCAGGAGGGGACTCGATCCCTTCATGCTGTTACATCAGTTCTCACCAGGGATTCCACCCTCGCAGTTCATGTTTGATTGTTGTGATTTTATGGCGTTGATGAGAAAAGGGTTGGCCAAAAAACCAAGTGGTGAAAACTAGGCAAACCTTTGTTCTAGTCACACATCCCAGTAGAAGAATTAGGAATGTGGGGAACATTCAGCCTCCCTAATAAGTAATCCAAATCCAAGGAATAGGGCGATCCTTTGTCACCCATCAGCAGAATGGGTGGTTGGTGGAGTGTGCATGGGTGGGTCTTTGTGGAAGGCCATTTGCTGGCAGTACCAGCATCTCAGATGTGCTTGTCATGTGACCCAGGCATCCTCTTCAGCACATGTTCAGACAGTGAGTGTTAGGGGTGATACCGTTTTAGTAGCAGGAAATGGGAAGCAGCTCGTCACTCTCCACCAGTAGAGGGATAGTTAGGTAAATTACGGGACAACCAGCAGCAGGATGCCACGCAGGCATTAAAAAATAAGGTATATGCAGATGTACAGAGAGAATGCGCTTGATGTGCCATTAAGTGGAAAGGCCATGCCTTACCTTTTGGAGACGTGTGGGGAACATCTTACACATATGTGTTAGTTTGGCAAGATGGCCATAACAAAGGGCCACAGACTGGGTGGCTTACACAACAGACACTGGTTGTCTCCCAGTTCTGGAGGCCGGGAATCCGAAATAAAGGTATCGGCAGGGTCGGTTGGTTTGTTCCGTCCCTCTCTCCTAGCTGTGGTGGTTGGCTGGCAGTCTTTGGTGTTGCTTGGCTTGTAGAAGCAACACCCCAACCTCTGCCTTCCTCCTCTCGTGGTGCTTTCTGTGTGTGCATCACTGTCTCTAATTGCCCCCTTTTTATAAGGACACCAGGCATTTGGGATGTGGGTCCACCCTAATGATGTCATTTTTACTTGACTACCTCTGTAAAGCCCCTGTTTATGAAAGGCCACATTCTGAGGTGCTGGGGGTTAGGACTTCAACACATGGGTTTTAAAGGGACACAGTGTAGCCCCCAATAACCTACAGGGCTAGGGAGCTGAGCATATTGGTGGCAGGGGCAGGGCTAGGGGAAGGAAAGAGGCGGAGCCCAGGACTATCCCTCTGTGCAGGAAGCCAGCTAAAGCTAGGCACGACTCTCCGTAGGCCAAGAGGGCCCTCCTTCCTTGTGTTGCCCCAGGGCTCAATGACCTCTGTCACAGCACTGACCACACTCTGTCCTTTGTGTGCCTTTCTCTAGCTGTCCCTGCCCTAACTCGGTGAGCTCCCCAAAGACTTCCTGGGATGGTCCTGAGTCCTCTGAATCCCAGCCCCTTCTATTGGGCCTACCGTGGCACAGGACATCAGTGACTGCGTGGTGACAAGAGCAGCGGACTATGGAGGTCAGTGAGGTTTAGAGCACCTGGGAGACATTGGGGAGCTCAGAGGCCTGGTGTGGGACGTGCCTCTGTGTTTCCACAGGCCACACGGCGCACAGAGAGCTCACGGAAGATGAAATTTGGCTGCCTCTCCTTCCGGCAGCCTTATGCAGGGTTTGTCTTAAATGGAGTCAAGACCATGGAGACACGCTGGCGTCCCTTGCTGAGCAGCCACCGGAACTGTACCGTTGCCATCCACATTGCTCACAGGGACTGGGAAGATGACACCTGGCGGGAGCTGCTGGGGGAGAGGCTGGGGATGACTCCTGCTCAGATTCAGGCCTTGCTTCAGGAAGGGGAAAAGTTCGGTCGGGGAGTGGTAGCTGGTAAGTGATGACGTTGCAAACGTTGTGCAGACAACTCCAAGAGCAACCACCCAGGATGTTGCTGGGGAGTTTCGTGGCTTCTGTTTTCTTTTGAACTGGTTGGTATGTTTGCTGTGGTTTCCTTGAGCAACACAGCTTCTAAGGGGCAGCAAGGGGCCCCGGGCTGGGGTCGACAGGCCTATGTTCCAGGAGCTCCAGGAGATCATTTCTCCACTCTGGGCCTCAGATCCTGTTTGTGATCCGAGAGGCTGGGTCAGCTCCATGTCTGCATGTGGTGTTTGGCTGTGTGTGCACAAGTGTGTGTGGCAGAGACCACGAGAGGTAGCACAGCACACCGATCAGGTCAGGTGGCCTCTAAAGTCAGGTGGCCCACTGCTTATGGCATCCTGGGCAAGTTCCCTGCCCCCTGGGTGGTTGAGGTCAGACATCAGCACCTGTCACCTGGTGAACTACCTTGACATCACCCGTAGGTTCCCTGGCTGGTGGCTGGTGCCCTTCTAATCTGTAACTACTGCCCTCAGCAGTCTTGCTTGGAGCCGCCCATTACTTGTGTGGCTTCCTTGAGGGCAAGGCCTCTCCTCTTCCTTTCTGGAGCCCTCCTGCCTCGCCCAGGACTCCCTGAAGAGTTTGGCTTGTCATCACTGTGCAGGAAGAAGGACTCGGCTGGCTTCATGTCTTTTGGGGGGATACCATCTTAGTCTGTAGCGATTGTGACTTTGAATAAGCATGTTGTCACACAGGCAGGCCTTTGGCTATGGAAGGGAAAAACATCTGTGTTTTTCTCTCTGTGCACAGGGCTCATTGACATTGGGGAAACTTTGCAGTGCCCTGAAAACTTAACTCCTGATGCAGTTGTGGAACTGGAAAATCAAGCTGTGCTGACCAACCTGAAGCAAAAGTACCTGACTGCGATTTCAAACCCCAGGTGGTTACTGGAGCCCATGCCTAGGAAAGGAGGAAAGGATATCTTCCAGGTAGATATCCCAGAGCACCTGATCCCTTTAGGGCATGAGGTGTGAAGAGTGTGGGCTCCCAAGAGGAACATTGCTGAGAAACCAGCTAAATCATGACACCATCATGGAGCAGGCCTGTGTACATCAGGTTAAGTTTGAATTGTCCCTGCACTGGAGAGCACCACTCTCTCCTTCACTGGAACAGATGGAATGGGGATGGGGCTTTCCTTGTGTGAGACCCCTTGGGGGTCATTGACATGGTCTCAAGTACTTTGACCTTTGGGTAAAAGGAAAAGCTGCCATGGAACGTCTCAGCGTTTCCGCTAACTTTGGGCCTACTGATTTCTGGATTGTACCAATAAATGTGTTGTGGATAACCACTTAGTGTTTGGGCTTCCCTTCTATGTTTTTCACTCTTTTTGTTCCGCCCAAAACTCATGAAATGTTTGAGCAGCAGCCACAGGACGTGGCAGAAAGTCTGGCACCTGACCCTGAATGTTTGCCTGAGACCGGCCATTAATGGACTGACTTGTCCAGGATGAAGAGGACATCAGCCTTAGAGAAGCTGTCTGACCTTTCGTTTCCTCTCGCCGTGTAGTAGGGTGAGGTTGACTTTGAAAAGTAATAAGTAGTGTTGTTTTCTTGCAAATCTTTGTGTGTGTGTGTGTGTGTGTGTGTGTGTGTGTGTGTGTGTGTGTGATTTCATAGCAATGTTTCTAGTGGTGGTTATCTGTGAGGATGATGGGCTCCCCTCCCCCAGGTATTGACTTCTGAGCCCTTCTCTTCTGCGCAAGGAGGTAGGTGGTCATACATCCCCCGGCAGATGGGGGGGCCTGACTTTCGGGTGGGTCTCCTTGGAGGGCCCCTGGAGGCTGGGTTAGGGATGCTGAGCTGCTGATCAGAAACTTCCTGGCCACCTTGGGGCTGTAGGGGGACCCATGAGGAAAGAATCTCTTCTTTCAAGACCGGTGAATTATGTAAGGTGATACTGCCAAGATCAAGAGCAAGGCTGTCCTGTTTCCTGAGCAAGAGGCAGGTCCCAGGGGACCAGATCTTCCTGAGCTTGCCCTCAACACTCCCGAGCAGCCCCTTTTGCTAAGTGTGTGAAAATGCTGCTTCTCCAAGTGAAAGAGGACAGTGGAGAACAAAGCCTGTCTCGGACGGGATTTTCAGCCTCCTGGCTTGTGCCCAGGAGAGGTGTATAGTATATAAGGTTGGAAAGGACACAGACTCGAGATTCTCATTTAAATTGTTTATTTACTCCCGTGGGGTTTTATTTCTCTTTACTAAGACCGAAAATGGGTTACTCATTAGAAAATGGCAATTTTTATCGGTCATCAGTGGCCTCTGAGTTTAGGGAGTTGGATTGTCCTTGAAGTGTTCACAGAGTGCACACTTGTAATCTTCAGAGCCCTCCTGCTCCTCTTCCGGGGGCTCATTAGGAGCCATGACTGAGAGGGCAGCCAGCAGGATGGAGTAGCAGGTGTTGTACAAAGACATTACAGAACCGTAATCTGGGATAACCTGGGGGCTAGCAGCCACTTCCCCTGCGCCTTCCATTGGGGCAGTAGCCAGAGGCGCAAACGTGGCATTCCCAGAGGTGCCCTCCCCACCTGGGCCATGTGGCTCATGAGTGGGATAATTTTCCTGGGGATGCCCAGAGATGCTGTTCATGGGACAGACACCAGAGAACATGAAGGACTGGGTGACACTGGGTCCCTGAGCATTGGGAGCTCCCATCTGGGGCTTCTGGTTGGCTTCTTTCTTCGCATTATTGTGATGGATTCGTGGGGAGTGTCTTGTAGCTACCAGTTTCTTTCTCTTTAGGGTTGGTGCACAGGATGCTTTCAGAGCAGTGTTTCTCAGGTAGCCTTTCTTCTGAATATTCTCCAGGAGTTCGGGCTTGTCTCTCTGAAAATTGGAGTTGGAGTAGATCTGAAACAAAAGAAACATTTCAGCCATGCTGAGATAAAATGTTCATTTTTTCCCCACTTCCCCAAATCATAATGGTCTTGTTTTGCAATAGAGAAAAGAATGTTTTAGGTGGCTGCCAGTGTCATTAGTCCTACAGCATGACCTGACTAAAGAAAAACTATTCATAGATTAAGGTGGTTTTATACACACATGCATAATATATATAAAAACATATATATCCACTATATATAAAAATGTGTGTGTGTGTGTGTGTGTATGTGTATGTGTGTATATATATGTGTGTGTGTATATATATGTGTGTGTGTGTGATATAACGTTAACGGGCCTCTCTGAGACTTTACTCAGACCTTCAGGTTATCACTATTGTAGTTTAATATCAATATAAGTTATCATCAGAACTTAAACTCCTGCGTGATATCATCATTTTGGTGTCCTATGAAGATGTTTGAGTAACAGAGAAAATGTGTAACAGAAATACTTTGTATGTTACCATCATCCTCTTGTTCCCTGGAGCGTGAACTGAAGAGTTGTTTGGGCGTATTTTGCTGAATCCATAGAGGTTAAGTTGTCGAATGAAACTCTTCAAGCTGTCTGTTTCAAAAATCTTCTCTGCACCTCTGCGGCGAAGAATCTCCCTCTGGAAAAGATCGTCCTCGATGATCACAGTCTCTCCATCCTCACTCCAGTGCACAGACTTGAAGATGTCATTCTCCACTATCATCCAAAGCTTTCTTGGGAAGGAGAGCCCACGGAGGTCAGTGTTGTCTTCCATGTTGGCCACATGTTGGCTTTGGTCTTCCAGTGGCAGGTTATCTTGGGAGCCTGGGTCTGGGCTCACAGCGTGGTCGCCGGGCCTGTCCAACACCTCCCTTGAATCCAGATTCGGATCAGTTGAAGAATTAGATGGAACCCCGCTTGCTGGCTCTCCACCAACAGAGGGGGCCAGCTCAGGTTCGTATTTCTCTTCCATACTCTGACTAGCCATGAAACTACACCAGCATCAGGAACATTTTGTACCCAAGACTGTTACCACTATCCTAGCGAGTCAGAAATGCCTTTGCTCAGCGTAGGGACACCCAATAAATACCCTCCACAAAATTCTAGAGTCTTGGTCGTGGAGCAACCAGCTGCTTAAGTTACCATCCTCTTTATTTGTCATGTGATGTCACAAAGATGGCTCACAGCCAATCTGGAGAGGGGGCCCTGGCCCAGTGTGGGGGAGAGGACGGGTGACAGGGCTGCCAACTTCTCTCTTTTCTTAAAGTGATAAGGTCATTGTTCCAGTTCCCACAAGTGTCCCCCACCTGCTGACAGGCACTGTTCCATGTTGCCAGGATGAGTTGAGAAACCATGGTCCCGTGGCCACTCCCACCACTGAAGACAGGGCAGGGGTGGGAGGGTGGGCGGCTGCTGGCCTTTCTGATTTGCTCAAGGACCAGCCCCCAGTTAGCCTTAGCTTGCATATCACCAAGACTGCCTAGCTCAGATGGGCCCCCAGTGACTCTACCTCCCAGGAAGCGGTGCTCCCTATCAGGCTGGTTGGCCTACTCTCAGTTGGTAACACCCCTATTTTCCTGTTCCCTCCCCATCTCCTTCCTGCTTTGGTCTCTGCCAACTACTCCTAGTGGTTGGTTGGATCTGCTCCACTAGGTGCAAATAAAGAGTATTTCTTACTGCCACTGGGTCAAGATGTCCCCAGAGCAGACTGTGCCTGAGTGCTGTGGGAGTGCTCCTCTCATTCCTTGACCGTAGTGTTACTCACAGCACCAGGTGTGACTGGATGGCCACATCCTCAACTTTGTTTGCCCCCACATCTCATCCTTGTGCAGATCACAATGGGATTACCTTTAGTTTCTATTTCTTCCCCCATAGATACTGCTCTCTTTGCCCAAGGCCCGCTCATTTTTGAGGCCTGCTTTACACTACCCTAAGGAAAGTTGCTACTTGTTTAGTTAGATGTGACTAAAGTAATCCAACACGGAAATACCCTTCAATATGTATTTGAAAATAGATGAGAGTCTGGGTGAGTAGGGAGCCAGGAGGAGGGAGAGAACCCAAGTGAAACTCATCTTCAGCTACCCAGGAGAGGATACACATTCTTTTTGGTAATACATGTTCTCTAGCCGTTGTAGACAACTATATTCTGAATACTCACTCTGTGTAGGGAGACAGAGTGGTAAAGTGGAAAGGCCCAAGGCTGAAAGGATCCTGAGGCCTCGCCCCACTAAGTTGTTCCCTTTGCTCCCTCTAAGGGGCAGCCCCGAGTGCAGAGGGTTTGGAAGAGGTTCTCCCAAGGTGCCTTTCTGTCTAAGGGCTCTCTGATCCTTAATCGTGTCCCCATGTCTGGGTTTGGGCTTGGTTCATGGTCCTCAAGCTTTTAAACAGGTTTACAAAGCATCCATTCAAGGACTCAGTTTAACCTGTAGGCATGTGCCGTTGGAGGCTAAGAATTAAAGTGGAGGCCACTGGTGATGTCTCCAAAGGAGGCGCCTAGAGTTGGCAGTTAACAGCCAGCATCTTTCATTTACATACCAACATCTTTTTTCTTAAACAGATTCTTAATATTGAGAATGATCTTTCATTGTGGGGTTTGTTAGCTGTGAACTCTGCTGATCACTTCAATAAAGGGATCTGGCCATTGAGTGGGAGGGGGATGGCAGTGAAGGAAATGACTGGGAGAACCACAGCTCTGGCATCCAGCAAAGACCCGTTATTTACTTGATTTGACTATGACACACTTATGTCCTATGGGTTCTGTAGGACCTTTAGCTATCATTCTCCTCTGTTTACAGAGTCTCAGATGTCCACAGGGATTAAGAGTCTAAGACATCAAGCTTCTCTTATCCCGTGAGGAGGAAACGCTCACAGCGTTGACTTGAGGCTAGTCCAGGAAAGGCATTATGGGAAAGCCGGCTTCCCACCGCTAAGCCCTCTCAGGCCCAGAAGTTCGACTCTGGGACCTCCATCTGCCACTCATGCAGTCTTTGTGAAGCACCCACCATGTGCATGCCCCTTTGAGAAAAATGATTGGTTTTCTCTTCAGTGCTCCAAGGGCCCCCAGACATGACCCCTCTGCATCACCGCCTTGTGGATGGAATCACCATAGTCAGTCAAGCAAGCAGAGCACAGCTGCCTGGGGGATGAGGACCAGTGGCCCCGTGGGAAAAGGATTTCAGTCTCGATTCGCTGCAGCTTCTGTGTGGCGATCGGGAGCAGCGCTAAGCTTGTGGCTATGGGCCCCAGGCTTGGAGCTGGCCACGGGGCAAGACTCACTGGGTAGGCCGTGCCTGCCGCCCCTCCTTTGCCCCACCTTAGCCCTACCCCCTTGCTGTGTCCCTGCCTTCTCAGGAGCTTCCTCCATACTGATCTCTCCTCTGGGATTCAGCCTGTGTCCCTGCAGCTGGTTCATCGCACCATGGAGGGTACTTTCTGAACGTGGCTGGGAACTCAACAGTTGTTTATGCACCAACTCCTGAAGACATCCAGGGCCTTCCTTTCCCAGCGTCATTAGCCACGGGACTCCTCTTACAGTCTCAGGCATCCACCACGCCAGCCACCCGTTAGCCTCCTTAACTCAGCATCTGCTCTGAGCCAGGCCCCCTGGTCCCCTGGAGCCCCTGGTGCTATTCTCTGAGCATGCCATGAACTGCCCTGCCAGTGACAGTGATCATGCTGTCCCTCATCCAGGAACACCCTTCTCTACCCAAAGACCACCCAGCTTGTCAGGGTCCAGTTCCTCAAGTTCCAGGTCACCACATGAGGCTATTTCCAGAGGGCTGGCCCAGCACAGCTCTCCAGGTCCACTTGAGTGCCTCCTGGGGCCAGAAATAACTTGAAGGGATCTCTCACACCTAGGAGACTTGGCTCACTGCTTTTCCTTTTGCACCCTTTACTTTAAACTGGCCAGTCAGGCATTTGCCTGTGAATTTAAAGTGACCCACACCCTGTTCCTCCGTATTATCCTGCTAGTTGCTTCCCCCTGCCTGACGCTTTATTCTTGCCTCCCTTGATCCAGGAATGGAAGACGGCCCTCAGCACTCATTGTGCCCTCCCTGCCCAGTATCTCTAACCAGTAAATCTTGGAGTTAGTTGTGGTGATATATTGAACTGGCACCTTCCATCTGAACAGCCAGGGGCTATCCCAAGGCTGAGTTTTACCCAGGACACCATAGGGGAACACAAGTTCAGGTTCCTGATGCCAGAACGATGGTTAGGCAGGCATAAACTACACGTAGGTCAAACAACGGCCACAAGGGTGTCTGCCAGTAGAAACAAGTTTCCTGTGTGAGGAAACCCCTGGCCATGGGTCAGACAACTAGGCATGCGGCCATCCCCCAGGGAAAAAAAGTATCCCGTGAAAGGCACACTGTAAACACCCACATCCAGCTCCCCTTAATTTCCCGTTGGGGCAGGGTCACTAGCTGCTCTGGTACTGGAACCCTAAGTTAGCTGGGGGCTCTCAAACCAGCCCCTTAATCAGGGGTCCCCATGAACCAAACCAACGAAAATTGAATAAATCAAAGAATGAGACAGACGAGGAATCTACCCATTTTAACCAAGCAGCCTGTTTATTCTATTTATCTATTTGCAAAAAGAAGTGTTAGCAACTATTCAGGTTCTTCCCTGTTCGGCTATTAAGTAGCAATTCTATAATATTATCTAGTATCCCAAGACAGAGTTAAAACAGGGAGAACTGGGTCTAGAAGTCTTACTCTATGAAAGGGACCACTAGCACAAATTGAACAAACAGTTGCATTAGGGATGTTGCTGAAGTTAGCTACTGAATGAATTAAAGGATCCCTTAGGGTGTGTAAAGATCTGGGTTTGGAATGACAGATCCAAAATTCTGCAGAAGCTACTGATGGTAAAATGCTAACTATAGTCGACCCTTGAACAGCACAGATTTGGATTGTGTACAGGTCCACGTATAGGCAAATTTTCTTCCACTTATGAGACAGCAGGTCCTACCCTTCCTCTCCCTCCTCCTCCTCAGCCAATTTAACATACAGATAATGAGGAGGGAAGACCTTCATGGTGATCTACTTCCACTTAATAAATAGTAAATATATTTTCTCTTCCTTATGATTTTCTTAATATTTTATTTTCTCTAGCTTACTTGATAAGAATACAGCATATGATACAACAGACACAACGTGTTATTCGGTTGCGTGTTTTATTGGTAAGGTTTCCAGTCAAGAGTAGACTATAAGTAGTTAAGTTTTGGGAGAATTGTTATAAAAATTATATGTGGATTTCTGACCACAGGGGGTTGGCAACCCAACCCCTGTGTTGTTGGGGTCGACTAAACACTGTTATGCTTCCAAATGAAAGAGGTAGGCACAAGCTACGAAAATTAAGAGGAATAAGGCTATCATTGTGATAGAGGGTCTGGTTCTGAAGTCATCAACTTCTTGTCCTCGTTTGCACTTTCAATGTATCTGCTTATGGCTTTGGACATTTTGGTGAACTCTCTGAGTGGCCCACACACCAGGCATGAGGCCTGCCCCTTAAAGTTTACATTGAATTGTTCAGCTCCAGCTTATATGGTGTCAGGAACAGAGCAGTTCATGTTCTGAGTTGGAAAGTTGTAGGCAGATATTGGAAAAAAAGCTAGAAGAATTCAGAATCAAGCACAGTCTACATACAGATAAAACTCAAGAACTATTAACAGGGCTAGAATCTAATAACAGGTGTACCATAGTTTTTCTTCTGAAACATGATTTTTCTCTCTTTACTCATCTCCATTTCAACCAAAGATAATCAGAGTAAGACTAATTTCTTTTTTGTTTGTTTGTTT